CGTGTAATACGTGTTATTCGTGTAATACGTGTTATTCGTGTAGAACGTATCAGTCTCTCAGTGTAGCTTATCGACCTCAGATTTCAGAGAAGCAGTACTTTGTGACGGCGTTGGCAGCGAGGGCGAAGCTGAAGGCGTGGTCGGACGTAGACGCTCTGTTCACCTGCAGGAATTGGCTCGGATTCACCAAGAAGAAATCTCCTCTCAGCTTCCATCGAGTCGTCGACATCCTGCAGAAAAACTCTGCCCCCGCACAGGTGAGGGGGCGGGTCCAAAGTGGAACCAGCTGAAGTGGGAGTGTCTGGTTTACAGTTGTGCGGTGTGATTGACAGGTGTTGCAGGAGTACGTCGGCCTGGTCGATGACGCCGACACGAGGACCTGTCTTGCGCAGAAACTGAAATGTCACGACATCGTCATCAACGTGAGACACAGTTTTACTTGAATAATGTTCTGTAATTGGATGATTCTATGTTAATGATGTGATGTCATGATGGCTGTCCGGTCTCTGGGCCAATCAGACGTACCGGGATCTGAAGGACCGACAGCTGTTGCTAGGATACCGAGGGAAGGTGGAGAAAGGTTCAGCAGAGGAGAGGAAGATCAACGAGCTGCTGGACAACCCGGTGAGGAAGAGGAGAGGGGGTCATCTTTATCATCTTCGTCATGTGACCTCATTGTTTCTTCTTCTCTTTCAGCAAATCCGCTGGAAGAACTGATCCACGGAATCTTCAACAGTCTCGGTTCAGCGACCGCCTCCCCCAACGTTGGTCTGGTCTTATTGCGTCAACAGCATGTCCCGCCCTTAAAGCTATCGCCTAGCAACAGAGCTACGGTCATTGGAGTTCTTCGGTCGATTCAAAATGTCTTGAAATGCAGCCTCCGAAGGGTGTGGCCCTGGATTAAGACTGTCCATCACCATGACAACCACATTCCTCCGAGAAAACTTTTTTTTACATGAACAATAAAGTTATTTAAAATTGTAAAATGGATTTTAATGTTTCTAATGTTCATGGAAAAGAGGAGAGAGAGAGGAGTGAAAAGAGAGAAGAGGAGAGAGCATGAAGCTCCACAGGGGTCCACAGGGATCCACAGGGGTCCACAGGGATCCACAGGGATCCACAGGGGTCCACAGGGGTCCACAGGGGTCCACAGGG